ACGGATGGACAGACAGACACACAGCGTCCCCCTGCTCCCGGGTTCACGCCCTCTGACCCCGTCCTCCCCCCTCCCCCAGGTCATCTGGGCTGTGGTGTTGGCGCCCGGCCAGGCCGAGCAAGAGGAGCACCCAGCACCCAGCACCCTGATACTGAGCACCCAGCACTGAGCACCCAGCACCCAGCACTGAGCACCCAGCACCCTGATACTGAGCACCCAGCACTGAGCACCCAGCACCCTGATACTGAGCACCCAGCACTGAGGACCCAGCAGTGTGCATAGAGCACTGAGCTCCCAGCACTGAGCACCCAGCAGTGTGCATGGATCACTGAGCACCCAGCACTGAGCACCCAGCAGTGTGCATGGAGCACTGAGCACCCAGCACTGAGCAGTGAGCACCCAGCAGTGTGCACTGAGCACCCAGCACCCAGCAGTGAACACTGAGCGCTGAACACTGACCACCCAGCACTGAGCACCCAGCACCCTGCAGTGAACACTGAGCACCCAGCAGTGTGCATAGAGCACTGAGCACCCAGCACTGAGCACCCAGCAGTGTGCATAGAGCACTGAGCTCCCAGCACTGAGCACCCAGCAGTGTGCATGGAGCAGTGAGCACCCAGCACTGAGCACCCAGCAGTGTGCATGGAGCAGTGAGCACCCAGCACTGAGCACCCAGCAGTGTGCATGGAGCACTGAGCACCCAGCAGTGTGCATAGAGCACTGAGCTCCCAGCACTGAGCACCCAGCAGTGTGCATGGAGCACCGAGCACCCAGCACCCAGCTCCAGGCAGGTGCTGGGGCCTTGGTCTCTGTCTGGGCCGGGGTTGGGGGGTGCTGGGCCTCGCTCGCTCGCTCGCTCTGACTCGTTCTCGTCCCCCCCCCCCGTCCACCCTCGGGCAGGAAGCGTTGCCGTGGCGCCCGGCAGGAAGCCGAGGCCGCAGGCCCGACCCCGGCCGACCCCGCCCAGAGCCACTTCCTGCCCAGCTGCGGCCAGAGAGGCCTGGGGGGAGGGGACGGACGGACGGACGGACGGACGGAGACAGAGAGACAGAGGGACAGAGGGACAGACAGACAGACTGACAGACGGACAGACAGACAGAGAGACAGACAGAAGGACAGACAGAGGGACAGACAGACAGACAGAGGGACAGACAGACAGACACAGACAGACAGACATAGAGACAGACACAGACAGACACAGACAGACAGACAGACAGAGAGACAGACAGACACAGACAGACAGACAGACAGAGAGACAGACAGACACAGACAGACAGACAGACAGACACAGACAGACAGACAGACAGACAGACAGACAGACAGACTGACAGAGAGACAGACAGATGGACAGACAGACAGAGGGACAGACAGACAGAGGGACAGACAGACGGACAGAGAGACAGACAGACAGACAGACAGACAGACAGACACAGACAGACAGACAGAGAGACAGACAGACAGACACAGACAGACAGACACAGACAGACAGACAGACACAGACAGACAGACAGAGAGACAGACAGACAGACAGACACAGACAGACAGACAGACATAGACAGACACAGACAGACAGACAGACAGACAGACAGACACAGACAGACAGACAGACAGACAGACAGACAGACAGAGACAGACAGACACAGACAGACAGACACAGACAGACAGACGGACAGAAAGACAGACAGACAGACAGACAGACACAGACAGACGGACAGACAGATGGACAGACACAGACAGACAGACAGACAGACAGACAGACTGACAGAGGGACAGACAGATGGACAGACAGACAGAAGGACAGACAGAGAGATAGACAGACACAGACAGACAGACAGACAGACAGACACAGACAGACAAACAGACAGACAGACAGACAGACACAGATAGACAGACAGACAGAGAGACAGACAGACACAGACAGACACAGACAGACACAGACAGACAGACAGACAGACAGACAGACACAGACAGACACAGACAGACAGACACAGACAGACACAGACAGACAGACACAGACAGACACAGACAGACAGACACAGACAGACAGACAGACACAGACAGACAGACAGACAGACACAGACAGACAGACACAGACAGACACAGACAGACAGACACAGACAGACAGACACAGACAGACACAGACAGACAGACAGACAGAGACATAATGGGGAATATCCTGGAGTGTTCTAGCGTGTTCTGGAATGTTCTGGAATGTTCTGGGGTATACCATAGTCTGCTGTGGTGTGTTCCGCTCTACAGTATACTATTCTGGAGTAGTCTGGCCTGTTCTGGAGTGTTCTATACTATTCTGGAGAATGGTGCAGTGTTCTGGAACGTTCTATAGAATTCTGGAGTGTTCTAGAATGTTCTGAAGCACCCTATAGTATTCTGTAGGGCGTTGTGGAGTACAGTACAGCACTCTGGAGTGTTCTGGAATATTCTATAGTGTTCTGGCGTGTTCTATAGTTTTCTGGAGTGTTCTAGAATGTTCTGAAGCACCCTATGGTATGCTGTAGGGCGTTGTGGAGTACAGCACAGCATTCTGGAGTCTTCTGGAATATTCTACAGTGTTCTGGCGTGTTCTATAGTTTTCTGGAGTGTTCTAGAATGTTCTGAAGCACCCTATGGTATGCTGTAGGGCGTTGTGGAGTACAGTACAGCATTCTGGAGTCTTCTGGAATATTCTACAGTGTTCTGGAGTCTTCTGGAATGTTCAGGAGTGCCCTACAGCACTGTGGGGTATCCTGGAACATTCTAGAACGTTCTGGAGAGTTCTGCCCTCGCCTGGCGTCTCCTCTCCTGGGACAGTCCTGCACTGGGTCGTGGCATGGACCGCTAGAATGTTCAGGAACCTTCCAGAACCCTTGTGGAGTTTTCCAGAAGGTTCTGGAACCCAGCCCTAGCACATTCTGGGGGGGAGGGGGGGTGGGCCTGAGCTGTGATTGACAGGGGGGCGGGACGGTGCCAGGGAGCCGCCCTGTGATTGGTGGGGGGGCTGTGATTGACAGGGGGGCGGGACTGTGCCAGGGAGCCGTCCTGTGATTGGTGGGGGGGCTGTGATTGACAGGAGGGCGGGACTGTGTCCCAGAAGCCGCCCTGTGATTGGTGGAGGGGGGCTGTGATTGACAGGGGGGCGGGACTGTGTCCCAGGGAGCTGCCCTGTGATTGGTGGGGGGGGCTGTGATTGACAGGGGGGCGGGACGGTGCCAGGGAGCCGCCCTGTGATTGGTGGGGGGGCTGTGATTGACAGGGGGGCGGGACTGTGCCAGGGAGCCGTCCTGTGATTGGTGGGGGGGCTGTGATTGACAGGAGGGCGGGACTGTGTCCCAGAAGCCGCCCTGTGATTGGTGGGGGGGGGCTGTGATTGACAGGGGGGCGGGACTGTGTCCCAGAAGCCGCCCTGTGATTGGTGGGAGGGCTGTGATTGACAGGGGGGCGGGACGGTGCCAGGGAGCCGCCCTGTGATTGGTGGGGGGGGCTGTGATTGACAGGGGGGCGGGACTGTGCCAGGGAGCTGCCCTGTGATTGGTGGGGGGGTTCAGGCCTGTGTCAGGGCCTGCGCTGTGATTGACAGGGGGGCGGGACTGTGTCCCAGAAGCCGCCCTGTGATTGGTGGGGGGGCTGTGATTGACAGGGGGGCGGGACTGTGTCCCAGAAGCCGCCCTGTGATTGGTGGGGGGGCTGTGATTGACAGGAGGGCGGGACTGTGCCAGGGAGCCGCCCTGTGATTGGTGGGGGGGTTCAGGCCTGTGCCAGGAGCTGCGCTGTGATTGACAGGGGGGCGGGACGGTGCCAGGGAGCCGCCCTGTGATTGGTGGGGGGGCGGGGCGGGCCCCCTCCCTCCCTCCCCCCCGCCCCTCGGGGCTCAGGCACCGGAAGTCGCCCCGCCCCGAGCCAGGCGCGGCTTCCTGTGCGCCCGCCGCAGGCGTCCGGGGCGGGGCCCGCAGCTGCTCCTAAAAGGCGGCCCCGGGGGCGGCTGGGGCTCAGGGCGCCTGCGCAGTGCGGAGAGGACGGCAGGGGGGGACCCCGAGACCCCGCGCATGCGCACGCGCGCCATGGCCGCCCCGCGCCTCCCGCCGCTGCTGCTGCTGCTGCTGCTGCTGCGGCCCGAGCGCGCGACCCCGACGCCGACCCCGACGCCGGCCCCGACGCAGGGCGACGCAGGTGCGCGCGCGGGCCGGAAGTGGGCGCCGGGAGGGGGGTGCTGACCGGAAGTGGGCGCTGCGGGGGGTGTGCTGACCGGAAGTGGGTGCTGCGGGGGGTGTGCTGACCGGAAGTGGGTGCTGGGGGGGGGGGTGTGTGGTGACCGGAAGTGGGTGCTGGGAGGGGTGTGGAGACCGGAAGTAGGCGCTGGGAGGGGTGTGGAGACCGGAAGTGGGCGCTGCGGGGGGTGTGGAGACCGGAAGTGGGCGCTGGGAGGGGTGTGGAGACCGGAAGTGGGCGCTGCGGGGGGTGTGGAGACCGGAAGTGGGCGCTGGGAGGAGGGTGGTGACCGGAAGTGGGCGCCGGGAGGGGTGTGCTGACCGGAAGTGGGCGCTGCGGTGAGCGTGCTGACCGGAAGTGGGCGCTGGGATGAGTCCTCAGACCGGAAGTGGGCGCTGGGAGGGGTGTGGAGACCGGAAGTGGGCGCTGCGGGGGGTGTGGTGACCGGAAGTGGGCGCTGCGGGGGGTGTGGTGACCGGAAGTGGGCGCTGCGGGGGGTGTGTGGTGACCGGAAGTGGGCGCTGCGGGGGGTGTGGTGACCGGAAGTGGGTGCTGCGGGGGGTGTGGAGACCGGAAGTGGGCGCTGGGAGGGGTGTGGAGACCGGAAGTGGGTGCTGGGAGGGGTGTGGAGACCGGAAGTGGGTGCTGGGAGGGGTGTGGAGACCGGAAGTGGGTGCTGGGAGGAGGGTGGTGACCGGAAGTGGGTGCTGGGAGGGGTGTGCTGACCGGAAGTGGGCGCTGGGGGGGTGTGCTGACCGGAAGTGGGTGCTGGGAGGAGTCCTCAGACCGGAAGTGGGTGCTGCAGTGAGTGGGCTGACCGGAAGTGGGTGCTGGGATGAGTCCTCAGACCGGAAGTGGGCGCTGGGATGAGTCCCGACACCGGAAGTGGGTGCCGGGCCGAGTCCTGTCACCGGAAGTGGGTGCTGGGATGAGTCCTGTCACCGGAAGTGGGTGCTGGGATGAGTCCTGTCACCGGAAGTGGGTGCCGGGCCGAGTCCTGAAACCGGAAGTGGGTGCTGGGATGACTGTTCTGACCGGAAGTGGGTGCTGCGGTGAGTCCCCCCGCCGGAAGTGGGTGCCGTGACCCACCGGAAGTGGGTGCTGGGGCCCGCCCGCCGCTGACTTCCGGTCCCCCCCCCCCTCCCCGCAGGCCCCGCGTTCCGGAACCTGCGCGTGGACCCCGCGGCGCGGCTGCTGACGTGGGACGGGCCCGAGGCGCGCGTGCGCTGCCTGCGCGGGGACGGGTTCGCGCAGCCGGTGAGCGCCGCCACGCACGCCACGCCAGGCCCCGCCCACAGCCCCAGGCCACGCCCCTAAGGGCTTCATAGATCCGCCAGGCCACGCCCACTGCGCCAGGCCACGCCCACAGCGCCGGGCCCCGCCCACGAGGGCTTCGCGGAGCCGCCAGGCCCCGCCCACAAGTCCTAGAGGCCAGGCCACGCCCCTAACGGCAGCGCACCGAGGCCAGGCCACGCCCACAAACGTCCCCAGCGAAGGCCACGCCCCCTCTCGCCCCGTGCTCCCTGCCAGGCCACGCCCCCTCTCGCCCCGTGCTCCCTGCCAGGCCACGCCCCCTCTCGCCCCGTGCTCCCTGCCAGGCCACGCCCCCTCTCGCCCCACTGTCCCTGCTAGGCCACGCCCCCTCTCGCGCCTCTCACTCCCTTGTAGGCCACGTCCCGTCTCCACTGTAGGCCACGCCCCCTCTCGCCCCACTCTCCCTGCTAGGCCACGCCCTCTCTCGTCCGTTCTCCCTGCTAGGCCACGCCCCCTCTCGTCCGTTCTCCCTGCTAGGCCACGCCCCCTCTCGCCCCTCTCACTCCCTTCTAGGCCACGCCCCCTCTCGCCCGTCTCACTCCCTTCTAGGCCACGCCCCGTCTCCACTGTAGGCCACGCCCCCTCTAGCCCCACTCTCCCTGCTAGGCCACGCCCCCTCTCACCCCACTGTCCCTGCCAGGCCACGCCCCCTCTCGCCCCACTGTCCCTCGTAGGCCACGCCCCCTCTCGTTCCGTGCTCCCTGCTAGGCCACGCCCCCTCTCGCCCCTCTCACTCCCTTCTAGGCCACGCCCTTTCTCTCCCGCGTGGCCACGCCCCCTCTCGCCCCTCTCTCTCACAGTAGGCCACGCCCCCTCCCGCCCGTCTCACTCCCTTCTAGGCCACGCCCCCTCTCGCCCGTCTCACTCCCTTCTAGGCCACGCCCCCTTTCGCCCCTCTCACTCCCTTATACGCCACGCCCCCTCTCGCCCGTCTCGCTCCCTTCTAGGCCACGCCCCCTAGTCTCCACACGCTTCTATTCGGTCTCAGTAGGCCCCGCCCCGTCCCCGCACTTGGCCACGCCCCCTCTCGCCCCTCTCACTCCTTTGTAAGCCACGCCCTTTCTCTCCCGCGTGGCCACGCCCCCTCTCGCCCCTCTCTCTCACTCTAGGCCACGCCCCCTCCCGCCCCTCTCTCTCACTCTAGGCCACGCCCCCTCTCGCCCCTCTCACTCCTTTGTAAGCCACGCCCTTTCTCTCCCGCGTGGCCACGCCCCCTCTCGCCCCTCTCTCTCACTCTAGGCCACGCCCCCTCTCGCCCCTCTCTCTCACTCTAGGCTACGTCCCCTCTCGCGCCTCTCACTCCCCCTGCTAGGCCACGCCCCCTCTCGCCCGCTCTCCCTGCTAGGCCACGCCCCCTCTCGCCCCTCTCTCTCACTCTAGGCCACGTCCCCTCTCGCCCCTCTCACTCCCTTCTAGGCCACGCCCCCTCTCGCCCCTCTCTCACTCTAGGCCACGCCCCCTCTCGCCCCTCTCACTCCCTTCTAGGCCACGCCCCAGCTGTCACTGTAGGCCACGCCCCCTCTCGCCCCTCTCTCACTCTAGGCCACGCCCCATCTCGCCCCTCTCACTCCCTTCTAGGCCACGCCCCCGTTTCTCCCGCGTGGCCACGTCCCCTCTCGCTCCTCTCACTCCCTTCTAGGCCACGCCCCCTCTCGCCCCTCTCTCCCTCGTAGGCCACGCCCCCTCTCGCCCCTCTCGCTCCCTTCTAGGCCACGCCCCGGCTCTCACTGTAGGCCACGCCCCCTCTCGCCCCTCTCTCCCTGCTAGGCCACACCCCCTCTCGCCCCTCTCTCTCACGCTAGGCCCCGCCCCCGCCTCCCTCTCGCTCCCATTGGCCGCGCCCGTCCCCGCGCTAGGCCACGCCCCCTCTCGCCCCTCTCTCTCCCGCTAGGCCCCGCCCCCGGCCCCGTCCCGCTCCCATTGGCCGCGCGCGGCCCCGCCCCGCGCTGAGCCCCGCCCCCGCCCCGCGCAGGCGCAGAGCGGCCGCCGCTGCGCCTTCCGCTTCGTGTCGCGCTGCGCCGCCACGCGCTTCTCGGTGCTGCGCGTCGCCGCCGCCGCCACTTCCGCTTCCGCCGCCGCCGCCGCTTCCGCCTCCGTGCTGTTCCCGCCGCCAGGTGAGCGGGCGCGCCCCGGGGGGGGGGGGGGTCACGCGGGGTCACGGGGGTCACGCGGGGTCACGCGCACGCCCCCGCAGACGCCGCCGCCGCCGCCGCCGCCGCGCGCGGCCTGCGCTGCTGGCTGCACCACGCCGCGCGCCTCAGCTGCGCCTGGAGCCCCGCCCGCGCCGCCCCGCGCGGCGCCCAGTACCTGCTGCGCTGGCGCGACGACGGGTACCGCGGGGCGGGGCGCTTCCGGGGGGGCGGGGGGCACTTCCGGTGGGGGTGTGGGGGCCACTTCCGGTGGAGCGGGGGCACTTCCGGTGAGGGTGTGGGGGGCACTTCCGGTCTGGCCCGGCCCCACACTCCACTTCCGGTCGGGTCTATGGAAACGTTCCACTTCCGGTCTGAACCATTTCCCCATCCCCACTTCCGGTCTGGCCCATCCTCAACCCCACTTCCGGTCTGACCCATCCCCACCCTCCACTTCCGGTTCCATCGATGTTGGCTCTCCACTTCCGGTCTCACCCATTCCCCATCCCAACTTCCGGTCTGACCCGTTCCCTACCCTCCACTTCCGGTCTGGCCCATCCCCATCCCCACTTCCGGTCTGACCCGTCCCTACACTCTACTTCCGGTCTGGTCTATGGAAACCTTCCACTTCCGGTCTGAACCATTTCCCCATCCCCACTTCCGGTCTGCCCATCGTCAACCCCACTTCCGGTTCTGGGATTTCCCACCCTCCACTTCCGGTCTGGTCCATTCCCCATCCCCACTTCCGGTCTGACCCATTCCCCATCCCCACTTCCGGTCTGACCCATCTCCATCCCCACTTCCGGTCTGACCCGTTCCCTACACTCCACTTCCGGTCTGGCCCATCTCCATCCCCACTTCCGGTCTGACCTATTCCCCACACTCCACTTCCGGTCTGGCCCATCCTCAACCCCACTTCCGGTCTGACCCATCCCCACCCTCCACTTCCGGTTCCATCGATGTTGGCTCTCCACTTCCGGTCTGAACCATTCTCTACACTCCACTTCCGGTCTGGCCCATCCCCACCCTCCACTTCCGGTCTGGCCCATCCTCAACCCCACTTCCGGTCTGACCCGTCTCTACACTCCACTTCCGGTCGGGCCCATCTTCACACCCACTTCCGGTCTGGTCCATTCTCCACCCCAACTTCCGGTCATCCCCATTCCCCATCCCCACTTCCGGTCTGGTCCATTCCCCATCCCCACTTCCGGTCTGACCTGTCCTCCATCCCCACTTCCGGTCTGGCCCATCCTCAACCCCACTTCCGGTCTGACCCGTCCCTACGGTCCACTTCCGGTCTGGCCCATCCGCATCCCCACTTCCGGTCTGACCTATTCCCTACACTCCACTTCCGGTCTGGCCCATCCTCAACCCCACTTCCGGTCTGACTCGTCTCTACACTCCACTTCCGGTCGGGCCCATCTTCACACCCACTTCCGGTCTGACCCATCCCCACCCTCCACTTCCGGTCTGGCCCATCCTCAACCCCACTTCCGGTCTGACCCGTTCCCTACACTCCACTTCCGGTCTCACCCATTCCCCATCCCAACTTCCGGTCTGACCCGTTCCCTACACTCCACTTCCGGTCTGGCCCATCCTCAACCCCACTTCCGGTTCTGGGATTTCCCACCCTCCACTTCCGGTCTGACCCATCCCCACCCTCCACTTCCGGTCTGACCCATCCCCACCCTCCACTTCCGGTCTGGCCCATCCTCAACCCCACTTCCGGTCTGACCCGTCTCTACAGTCCACTTCCGGTCGGGCCCATCTTCAACCCCACTTCCGGTCTGACCCATCCCCACCCTCCACTTCCGGTTCCATCGATGTTGGCTCTCCCCTTCCGGTCTGAACCATTCTCTACACTCCACTTCCGGTCATCCCCCTTCCCCATCCCCACTTCCGGTCTGACCTGTCCTCCATCCCCACTTCCGGTCTGACCCATTCCCCATCCCCACTTCCGGTCATCCCCGTTCCCCACCCCACTTCCGGTCTGACCTGTCCTCCATCCCCACTTCCGGTCATCCCCACTCCCCACCCCCACTTCCGCCCCGCCCGCCCTCACTTCCGGCGCCGCAGGTCCCCGCGGCGCGGCGCGTGCCCCGCGTACGTCACGGACGCGCTGGGGCGTCACACGCGCTGCGTCTTCGAGGACGTCGCGGCGCTGCCCGAGCGCTTCGTGGCCACCGTCGTCACATCCGGCCCCGGAGCCCCGCCCCCGGCGCTCGACGCGCATGCGCGGCCCTGCGCCGACCTGCACGTCGTCCCGCGCCTCCTCGAGGGTGAGCTTCCGGTCCCCGGGAGGGAAAGGGGCGGGGCCCGGGGCGCCCAGACACCCAGACCGGAAGTCCCGCCCCCACGCACGCAGAGACGCTGAGCCCGCCCCACGTCAACGTGACCTGCAACGTCACGGAGGCCGTGCTGGCCTGGACCCCGCGCAGCGCCTTCCCCGGGCGCTTCAAGTTCCGTCTGCGCATGCGCAAGGTGCGTGGCCACGCCCCCCGGGGAAGGAGGAGCCACGCCCACCGCCGCCTGGGCCCGCCTGACCACGCCCACGCTGTCCAAGCCACGCCCACCGCGCGCTGGGTGAGCCAGGCCACGCCCACTAGTGGCTCAGAGTAAGCCACGCCCACCAGCATCTCAGACTAAGCCACGCCCATGTGCTCATCCACTCCATAAGCCACGCCCACAATGCGCTCGTCCATCCACTAGGCCACGCCCACAACGCACTCATCCGTCCACTAAGCCACGCCCACAATGCGCTCGTCCATCCACTAGGCCACGCCCACAAGGCGCTCGTCCATCCACTAGGCCACGCCCACAAGGCGCTCGTCTATCCAGTAAGCCACGCCCACAATGCGCTCACCCATCTACTAAGCCACGCCCACAAGGCGCTCGTCCATCCACTAAGCCACGCCCACTATGAGCTCATCCATCCACTAAGCCACGCCCACAACGCACTCATCCGTCCACTAAGCCACGCCCACAACGCGCTCGTCCATCCACTAGGCCACGCCCACAATCCGCTCGTCCGTCCACTAAGCCACGCCCACAATGCGCTCATCCATCCACTAGGCCACGCCCACAACGCGCTCATCCATCCACTACGCCACGCCCACAATGCGCCGTCCATCCAGTAAGCCACGCCCACAATGCGCTCACCCATCTACTAAGCCACGCCCACAGTGCGCTCATCCATCCACTAAGCCACGCCCACTATGAGCTCATCCTTCCACTAAGCCACGCCCACAACGCACTCATCCGTCCACTAAGCCACGCCCACAAGGCGCTCGTCTATCCACTAGGCCACGCCCACAACGCGCTCGTCCATCCAGTAAGCCACGCCCACAACGTGTTCATCCGTCCACTAAGCCACGCCCACAACGCTCTCACCCATCCACTAAGCCACGCCCACCTTGAGCTCACCCATCCACTAGGCCACACCCACAGTGCGCTCTTCCATCTACTAAGCCACGCCCACCATGAGCTCACCCATCTAAGCCACGCCCACCACATCCTAAACCATCCCAGCACACGCCCTCGCCTCCTCGGCCACGCCCACCTCGCGCCTGCCTTGCTAAGCCACGCCCCCCACGAACTCCACCCTCCCAGCACCCTCCCACGCCTCCTAGGCCACGCCCACCACGTGTCCGACCCGCTAAGCCACACCCACACCGTGCCTGCCCCCGCTAAGCCACGCCCACTGTACGCTCCACCCTCCCAGCACACGCCCACACCTCCTAGGCCACGCCCACCACGTGTCCGACCCGCTAAGCCACGCCCATCCCGTGCCTACCCCCGCTAAGCCACGCCCACCGTGCGCTCCACCCTCCCAGCACCCTCCCACGCCTCCTAGGCCACGCCCACCACGTGCCTGCCTTGCTAAGCCACGCCCACCACGTGCCTGCCCTCGCTAAGCCACGCCCCCTCGCTTACGGACGCCCCAGGCCACACCCGCAGCGTAGCCACGCCCTCCCCGCCAGCCCCGCCCACCGTGACTCAGCGTTTCTCTGCGCTGCGCCCGGGGGCGGTGGGCGTGGCCTCGCGCCTGTGGGCGGTGGGCGTGGCCTCGCACGCGCTTGGGCCTGTGGCGGGCGCTGTGGGCGGGGCCTGGGCGCGCTGGGCGTGGCCAGGGCGGGCTGGGCGGGGCCTGGGCGGGCTGGGCGGGCTGGGCGGGGCCTGGGCGGGCTGGGCGTGGCCTGGGCGCGCTGGGCGTGGCCTGGGCGGGGCCTGTGGCGGGCTGGGCGTGGCCTGGGCGCGCTGGGCGTGGCCTGGGCGGGGCCTGTGGCGGGCTGGGCGGGGCCTGGGCGGGCTGGGCGTGGCCTGGGGCGGGCTGGGCGTGGCCTGGGCGGGCTGGGCGGGCTGGGCGTGGCCTGGGCGGGCTGGGCGTGGCCTGGGCGGGCTGGGCGGGGCCTGGGCGCGGTGGGCGGGGCCGGGGCGGGTCCATCCGGGTCTCACCGCGCTTCCTCTCCTCCCAGGAGCCCGCGGACGCGTCCGAGGATCTGGAGGTAACGAGGGGTGGTGACGTCACGGGTGACGTCACGGCGTGGAGGGGGGATGGGCGGGGGAAGGAAACCCCCCGGGGGGGACCCCGCCCACCGCCCTTTCCACATCCCATAATAGACCCGGATACATCCCAGCGTAGTGCACCTCCATCCCATAATAGATACATCCCAGCGTAGTACATCTACATCCCATAATATGCACGGACACATCCCATCATAGACAGATACATCCCATAATAGATACATCCCATCGTAGTGCACCTCCATCCCATAATAGACACGGACACATCCCATCGTACACAGATACATCCCATAATACACATTGACATAGTCTGCATCCCATAATATACACAGACACATCCCATCATAGTGCACCTCCATCCCATAATAGACACATCCCATCGTTGTATATCTACATCCCATAATAGACAGACACATCCCAGCGTAGTTCACCTCCATCCCATAATAGATACATCCCATCGTAGTGCGCCTACATCCCATAATACACACATCCCATCGTAGTACAGCTACATCCCATAATATACACGGACACATCCCATCATAGACAGATACATCCCATAATAGACAGATACATCCCATCGTAGTGCACCTCCATCCCATAATAGACAGATACATCCCATCATAGTTCCTAGTGATTATACATCCCATAATAGACATTGACATAGTCTGCATCCCATAATATTCCAATCACTGATTATACATCCCATAATATACACATACATCCCATGTAGTGCACCTCCATCCCATAATATACACGGACACATCCCATCGTACACAGATACATCCCATAATAGGAGTGCACCTCCATCCCATAATATACAGACACATCCCATCGTAGTTCACCTCCATCCCATAATAGATACATCCCATCGTAGTGCGCCTACATCCCATAATACACACATCCCATCGTAGTACAGCTACATCCCATAATAGACACATCCCATCGTAGTGCACCTCCATCCCATAATAGATGCATCCCATCCTAGTTCACCTGCATCCCATAATATGCACCGATACATCCCATAATAGACAGATACATCCCATCATGGTTCACCTACATCCCATAATATACAGACACATCCCATTGTAGTGCACCTACATCCCATAATAGACACATACATCCCATCGTAGTGCGCCTACATCCCATAATATACACCGATACATCCCATCATAGTTCATGTAGTGATTTATTGTGATACATCCCATAATAGACATTGGCATAGTCTGCATCCCATAATATTCCAGACAGTGATGACACATCCCATAATATACACTGACATCCCATCGTTGTATATCTACATCCCATAATATACACGAATACATCCCATCATAGTGCACCTACATCCCATAATAGACACATCCCATCGTTGTATACCTACATCCCATAATAGATACATCCCATCATGGTTCACCTACAGCCCATAATATACACATACATCCCATCATAGTTCACCTACATCCCATAATATACAGATACATCCCATCGTAGTTCACCTACATCCCATAATATACAGACACATCCCATCGTAGTTCACCGACAGCCCATAATATACACATACATCCCATAATATGCACCGATACATCCCATCATAGTTCATACAGGGATTTATTGTGATACATCCCATAATAGACATTGGCATAGTCTGCATCCCATAATGTTCCATACAGTAATTATATATCCCATAATAGACACCAATACATCCCATCATAGTTCATAGTGATTGTACATCCCATAATAGACACCGATCCATCCGATAATACTCCATATAGTGATTTATTATTACACATCCCATAATAGACATTGGCGTAGGATGCATCCCATAATAGGCCCTGGCCCCGGCCTCCATCCCATAATAGCCCCTGGCCCCGGCCTCCATCCCATAATAGCCCCTGGCCCCGGCCTCCATCCCATAATAGCCCCTGGCCCCGGCCTCCATCCCATAATAGGCCCTGGCCCCGGCCTCCATCCCATAATAGCCCCTGGCCCCGGCCTCCATCCCATAATAGCCTCTGGCCCCGGCCTCCATCCCATAATAGCCTCTGGCCCCGGCCTCCATCCCATAATAGCCCCTGGCCCCGGCCTCCATCCCATAATAGCCCCTGGCCCCGGCCTCCATCCCATAATAGCCCCTGGCCCCGGCCTCCATCCCATAATAGCCTCTGGCCCCGGCCTCCATCCCATAATAGCCCCTGGCCCCGGCCTCCATCCCATAATAGCTCCTGGTCGCCCGGGCGACCCCCCGGGGGGTCAGGGGTCACGGTTAGGGGGGGGGGGGGGTGGAGCTGACCCCTGACCCCCGTGACCTCCGCCCCCCCCCCGTGTCTTGCAGGCCGCGGAGCCCGAGGAGGTGAGCGCCTGCCTCAGTTTCCCCTCCTGCCCCGGGGGGCCCGGGGGCGGGGGCGGGGGGTGGAGGTCAAGGGTCAGGGGGTCAGAGAGGCCCAAAGGGGTCGCAGGACACACCGGGCCTGACCCCTGACCCCCGACCCCCCCCCCCTACGTGTGGCCCAGACGGACGCGAACTCCTACACCATCCGCAACCCCCCGCGCGCCTTCTCCCTGCAGCTGGGCATGCGCAGAGCGCTGCAGGCCTGGGGCGCCTGGGGCCCCGCCCAGCGCGTCGGTGAGGCCCGCGCATGCGCCGCGGGGGGGGGGGCGTGGCCAGCGGCCCCGGGGCGCTGACCACGCCCCCCCGGCGTCCCCACGCAGCGTGCGTCCCCGCGTCGCCCCCCGCCGCGCCGCCGTGGCTGCCGGCCGCGCTGGGCATGCTGGGAGCCGCGGGCGCCGCGCTGGCGGCGCTGCGCTTCCGCCGGAAGTACGTGCCAACGGGGAGGGGGGGGGTTGGTCCCGCCCCCTTGGATGCGCCCCACCGGAAGTCCCGCCCCAGCGCGCTGTGCCCCGCCCCCAGGCTCTGCCCGCGCGTGCCTGAACCCCGACCCCTGACCCCTGACCCCGACGTCACCCCGACGCTGGCCCAGGAGGAGGAGTGCCCCGTGACCCCGCTGCGCGAGGAGGAGCGGGACGCGTGACCCCGGAAGTGGACGGGAGGGTCAATAAACACAGCTGTCACTCAGGGCGACTCACTTCCGGCGGCGGGGAGGGGCGCCAGGGCGCGGGAACCTACTGCGCATGCGCCAGGGGGCGCCAAGGCCCGCCCCCCCGTCCGTCCATCCGGGTCCCCGCGCGCTCATTGGCTGAGCGTGGACTCCAGGCCACGCCCACCGCGCCTGCAGGCTCCAGGGCGTCCTTAGGCCACGCCCACACGGGTTCCCGCGCGCTCATTGGCTGAGCGTGGACTCCAGGCCACGCCCACCGCGCCTGCAGGCTCCAGTGTGTCCTTAGGCCACGCCCACCCGGGTTCCCGCGCGCTCATTGGCTGAGCGAGGACTCCAGGCCACGCCCACCGCGCCTGCAGGCTCCAGCGTATCCCTTAGGCCACGCCCATCCGGTTTCCTCCACGTTCATTGGCTGAGCGAGGACTCCAGGCCACGCCCACCGCGCCTGCAGGCTCCAGCGCGTCCTTAGGCCACGCCCACACGAGTTCCCGCGCGCTCATTGGCTGAGCGTGGACTCCAGGCCACGCCCACCGCGCCTGCAGGCTCCAGTGTGTCCTTAGGCCACGCCCATCCGGTTTCCTCCACGTTCATTGGCTGAGCGTGGACTCCAGGCCACGCCCACCGCCCCTGCAGGCTCCAATGTGTCCCTTAGGCCACGCCCACACGGGTTCCCGCGCGCTCATTGGCTGAGGGAGGACTCCAGGCCACGCCCACCGCGCCTGCAGGCTCCAGCGTATCCCTTAGGCCACGCCCACACGGGTTCCCGCGCGCTCATTGGCTGAGCGAGGACTCCAGGCCACGCCCACCGCGCCTGCAGGCTCCAGGGCGCCCTTAGGCCACGCCCATTCGGGTTCCCGCGCGCTCATTGGCTGAGCGTGGACTCCAGGCCACGCCCACCGCGCCTGCAGGCTCCAGGGCGTCCTTAGGCCACGCCCACACGGGTTCCCGCGCGCTCATTGGCTGAGAGAGGACTCCAGGCCACGCCCACCGCGCCTGCAGGCTCCAGTGTCCCTTAGGCCGCGCCCACACGGGTTCCTCCACGCTCCTTGGCTGAGCGTCTCCAGGCCACGCCCCCTGGCAGGTCCCGCCCCTTTCCCCTCTCCCGCCGTGCCCATTGGCTGTCCCGCCCGCCCCTCGGCCTTTCCCGTTCGCTCATTGGCTGAGCGTCTCCCCACACTCCCCCCCCCCCCAGAATGGGTTTTTCTTAGGGGTGAGTGGACATGGGGACCTGCTCCCCTCCCCTCCCCTTTAACCCTTGACCTCGGCTGACCTCACCCCCCCACAGCCCCACACCTTGAGGAGGTGGAGGCCCAGGGTTCGAGGCCCAGGGTTGGAGGCCCAAGAATAGAGGTTCAAAAATGGAGGCCCAGGATTGGAGGTCCAAGAATAGAGGCCCAGGATTGGAGGTCCAAGAATAGAGGCCCAGGGCAAAGTGGAGGCCCAAGAACGGAGGCCTAGGATTAGAGGTCCAGGAATGGAGGCTGAGGGCTAGAGGCCTAGTTCAGGGTGGAGGCCCTAGGGGCCGAGGCCTACATGCAGGATTGAAGCCTTAGGGGGTGGGTGGAGGCCCAGGGATTGGAGATCCAGGATTGGAGTCCCAAGAATGGAGGCTCAGGATTAGAGGTCCAGGATTGGAGGCCCCCAGAATGGAGACCCAGAATTGAAGGCCCAAGAATAGAGGCTGAAAAATGGAGGCCTATGACTGGAGGCCCAGGGATTGGAGGCCCAGGATTAGAGGCCCAAGAACGGAGGCCCAGGAATGGAAGGCCCAGGAATAGAGGCTCAAAAATGGAGACCCAGAACTAGAGGCCCAAGAATGGAGGCTCAAACGTGGAGGCTCAGGATTGGAGGCCCCGGCGTTTATTCCTCCCCGGCCTCCACCAGCAGCAGCAGCGCGGGGCCTGCGACAGAGAGACCCGGATGCACAGAGGCCCGGATGCACAGGGCGGGGGAGGCGCGCGGGGAGGGGCGTGGCTTCCACACAGCCAGTCACGGCGCGCGGGGGCGTGGCCTGGCGGGGCTCGCACCTCCCACGTGACGCGCGCGCGCGCGAAGCCCGAGGGGTCAAAGGCCGCCGCCGCCACGCCGGGCGCCGTCATCCGGGTCCTCCGCGGCCTAGGAGGAAGAAGGAGGCGCGGGGAGGAGGGCGTGGCCGCGCTGAGGGGGCGTGGCCTGGGCTGGGGGCGTGGCCTAGCCAGGGTCTAGTAAACTCAGGGGGCGTGGCCTGGGCTCTGAGCGGGTCTGTGGGGGCGTGGCCTGGCGCTGGGGGCGTGGCCTGGGCTCTGAGTGGAGCTCTGGGGGCGTGGCCTGGTGCTGGGGGCGTGGCCTGGGCTCTGAGCGGTGCTCTGGGGGCGTGGCCTGGCGCTGGGGGCGTGGCCTGGCGCTGGGGGCGTGGCCTGGCGCTGGGGGCGTGGCCTGGCCTCTGAGTGGAGCTCTGGGGGCGTGGCCTGGCGCTGGGGGCGTGGCCTGGCCTCTGAGTGGAGCTCTGGGGGCGTGGCCTGGCGCTGGGGGCGTGGCCTACTGTCTGCGCAGAGCCGTTGGGGGCGTGGCCTGGCCTCTGACTGGTGCTGTGGGGGCGTGGCCTGGCGCTGGGGGCGTGGCCTGGGCTCTGAGCGGGTCTGTGGGGGCGTGGGGCAGCTGGGGGCGTGGCCTGGCGCTGGGGGCGTGGTCTAGCCTGGTCTAGTATCCTCAGGGGGCGTGGCCTGGGCTCTGAGCGGGTCTGTGGGGGCGTGGCCTGGCTGGGGGCGTGGCCTGGACTCTGAGCGGGGCTGTGGGGGCGTGGCCTGGCGCTGGGGGCGTGGCCTGGGCTCTGAGCGGGTCTGTGGGGGCGTGGCCTGGCGCTGGGGGCGTGGCCTGGCGCTGGGGGCGTGGCCTGGCCTCTGAGTGGAGCTCTGGGGGCGTGGCCTGGCGCTGGGGGCGTGGCCTGGCCTCTGAGTGGAGCTCTGGGGGCGTGGCCTGGCGCTGGGGGCGTGGCCTACTGTCTGCGCAGAGCCGTTGGGGGCGTGGCCTGGCGCTGGGGGCGTGGCCTGGCCTCTGGGCGGGTCTGTGGGGGCGTGGCCTGGCGCTGGGGGCGTGGCCTGGGCTCTGAGCGGGGCTGTGGGGCGTGGCCTGGCGCTGGGGGCGTGGCCTGGCCTCTGAGCGGGTCTGTGGGGGCGTGGCCTGGCGCTGGGGGCGTGGCCTGGGCTCTGAGCGGGGCTGTGGGGCGTGGCCTGGCGCTGGGGGCGTGGCCTGGGCTCTGAGCGGGGCTGTGGGGGCGTGGCCTGGCGCTGGGGGCGTGGCCTGGGCTCTGAGCGGTGCTCTGGGGGCGTGGCCTGGCGCTGGGGGCGTGGCCTGACCTCTTAGCGGTGCTGTGGGGGCGTGGCCTGGCGTTGGGGGCGTGGCCTGGGCTCTGAGCGGGTCTGTGGGGGCGTGGGGCAGCTGGGGGCGTGGCCTGGCGCTGGGGGCGTGGCCTAGGGTCTGTACAGGGCCGTTGGGGGCGTGGCCTGGCCTCTGAGCGGGTCTCTGGGGGCGTGGGGCTGCTGGGGGTGTGGCCTGGCGCTGGGGGCGTGGCCTGGGGCTGGCGCAGAGCCGTTGGGGGCGTGGCCTGGCGTTGGGGGCGTGGCCTGGCCTCTGAGAGGCGCTGTGGGGGCGTGGGGCAGCTGGGGGCGTGGCCTGGCGCTGGGGGCGTGGCCTAGCCTGGTCTACTACCCTCAGGGGGCGTGGCCTGGCCTCTGAGTGGTGCTGTGGGGGCGTGGGGCAGCTGGGGGCGTGGCTTGGCCTTGGGGGCGTGGCCTAGGGTCTGCGCAGAGCCGTTGGGGGCGTGGCCTGGGCTCTGAGCGGGTCTGTGGGGGCGTGGGGCAGATGGGGGCGTGGCCTGGCGCTGGGGGCGTGGCCTAGGGTCTGCACACGGCCGTTGGGGGCGTGGCCTGGCCTCTGAGCGGGTCTGTGGGGGCGTGGGGCAGCTGGGGGCGTGGCCTGGCGCTGGGGGCGTGGCCTAGGGTCTGCGCAGAGCCGTTGGGGGCGTGGCCTGGGCTCTGAGCGGGTCTGTGGGGGCGTGGGGCAGCTGGGGGCGTGGCCTGGCGCTGGGGGCGTGGCCTGGCCTCTGAGCGGGGCTGTGGGGGCGTGGGGCAGCTGGGGGCGTGGCCTGGCGCTGGGGGCGTGGCCTAGGTCCTGCGCAGAGCCGTTGGGGGCGTGGCCTGGCCTTGGGGGCGTGGCCTACTGTCTGCGCAGAGCCGTTGGGGGCGTGGCCTGGGCTCTGAGCGGGTCTGTGGGGGCGTGGGGCAGCTGGGGGCGTGGCCTGGCCTTGGGGGCGTGGCCTACTGTCTGCACAGAGCCGTTGGGGGCGTGGCCTGGCCTTGAGGGCGTGGCCTACTGTCTGCGCAGAGCCGTTGGGGGCGTGGCCTGGGCTCTGAGCGGGTCTGTGGGGGCGTGGGGCAGCTGGGGGCGTGGCCTGGCGCTGGGGGCGTGGCCTAGGGTCTGCGAGGAGCCCTTGGAGGGCGTGGCCTGGCCCCCTTCTGTGTGGGCGTGGCCTGGCCCGTGCCTGGGGGCTGGAAAGTGGAGGCCCGAAAGTGGAGGCCTGGAAATGGAGGTTGACAATGTGGAGGCTGGAAAACGAAGGCCCAGAGAATGGAGTCCGAGAATAGAGGCTCCAACATGGAGGATGGGGGGGGGGGGGGGGGGGAAAGGAGGTTTGAAAGTGGAGGCCGGGGAATGGAGGCTGGAAAAGAAAGAAGCTGCGGAAATGGAGGTGGAAACATGGAGGCCGAGAGAGAACGGAGATGGGAAAACGGAGGCTGGGAAAATGAAGGTTCGGACATGGAGGCTGGAAGATGTGGAACTTGGGAAAAGGAGGCCCAGGGAACGGAGGCCCAGGGTGACAGACAGTGGAGGCCCAGAAAGTAGGGAGGCTACAAAGTGGAGGCCCAAGGAATGGAGACCAAAGAATAGAGGACAGAAAGTGGAGGCCAGAAAGTGGAGGCCAGAAAGTGGAGGCCCAGAGAATCAAGAACACAGAATGGAGGCCCAGAGGGTGGAGGCCCAGGGGTGGAGACCAGACAATGGAGGCCCCGAAATTGGAGGCTGCAGAATGGAGGCCCAGGGAATGGAGGCCGCAGAATGGAGGCCCAGGGAATGGAGGCCCAGGGTTACAGACAGTGGAGGTCCAGAACGTTGGAGGCTACAAAGTGGAGGCCCAAGGAATGGAGACCAAAGAATAGAGGCCAGAAAGTGGAGGCCAGAAAGTGGAGGCCAGAAAGTGGAGGCCCAGAGAATCAAGAACACAGAATGGAGGCCCAGAGGGTGGAGGCCCAGGGGTGGAGACCACACAATGGAGGCCAGAGAGTGGAGGCTAGAAAGTGGAGGCCCAGGGAATGGAGGCCGCGGAATGGAGGCCCAGGGAATGAAGGCCCAGGGTTACAGACAGTGGAGGTCCAGAAAGTTGGAGGCTACAAAGTGGAGGCCCAAGGAATGGAGACCAAAGAATAGAGGCCAGAGAGTGGAGGCTAGAAAGTGGAGGCCCAGGGAATGGAGGCCCAGGGTTACAGACAGTGGAGGTCCAGAAAGTTGGAGGCTACAAAGTGGAGGCCCAGGGAATGGAGACCAGACAATGGAGGCCCAGGAAATGGAGGCCAGAAAGTGGAGGCCCAGAGAATCAAGAACACAGAATGGAGGCCGAAAGGGTGGAGGCCCAGGGGTGGAGACCAGACAATGGAGGCCCAGACAGTGGAGGCTAGAAAGTAGAGGCCCAGAGAATGGAGGCTGCAGAATGAAGGCCCACGGAATGGAGGCCGCAGAATTGAGGCCCAGGGAATGGAGGCCCAGGGTTAGACAGTGGAGGTCCAGAAAGTTGGAGGCTACAAAGTGGAGGCCCAAGGAATGGAGACCAAAGAATAGAGGCCAGAAAGTGGAGGCCAGAAAGTGGAGGCCCAGAGAATCAAGAACACAGAATGGAGGCCCAGGGGTGGAGACCAGACAATGGAGGCCAGAGAGTGGAGGCTAGAAAGTAGAGGCCCAGGGAATGGAGGCCGCAGAATGGAGGCCCAGGGTTACAGACAGTGGAGGCCCAGAAACTTGGAGGCTACAAAGTGGAGGCCCACGGGTGGAGACCAGACAATGGAGGCCCAGGGAATGGAGGCCAGAAAGTGGAGGCCCAGAGAATCAAGAACACAGAATGGAGGCCCAGAGGGTGGAGGCCCAGGGGTGGAGACCAGACAATGGAGGCCAGAGAGTGGAGGCTAGAAAGTGGAGGCCCAGGGAATGGAGGCCGCAGAATGGAGGCCCAGACAGTGGAGGCCGCAGAATGGAGGCCCAGACAGTGGAGGCCGCAGAATGGAGGCCCCGTGGAGAGAAGACGTACCTGGGCGCCCTCCACCGCCACCCCGGATCCTCGCGGGGGGTCGGGGTCATCGTCGGGGTCATCGTCGGGGTCGGGGTCGGAGGCCAGCGCCCGGCAGAAGCGGTTGAGCGGGAAGCCGATGACGTTGAGCGCGTCGCCCTGCACGGCCTGCACCAGCATCCCGCCCTGGGCCTGCAGGGCGTACCCTCCGGCCTTGTCCCTGCAGGGGGAGGGGGGGCAACGATGACCTGTGACCTCTGACCCCTGACCTAGGACCCTGCAAGGCACTGGTGACCTCTGACCTCTAACCCCGCCTGGCACCTATGACCCCTGACCTATGACCCTGCAAGGCACCGGTGACCTCTGACCTCTAACCCACCTGGCACCTGTGACCTATGACCCCCTGACCTGTGACCCTGCTGGGCACTTTGTGACCTCTGACACCTGACCTATGACCCTGCCAGGTACCGGAGACTTCTTACCTCTGACACGCCTGGCAGCTGTGACCTATGACCCATAACCTGTGACCCTGCTGGGCACTTGTGACCTCTGACACCTGACCTATGACCCTGCCAGGCACCGGCGACCTACGACCCTGCCAGGCACTGATGACCTCTGACCTAAGACCCCTGACTCTGCCTGGCGCCTGTGACCTATGACCCGTGACCTGTGACCCTGCTGGGCACTTGTGACATCTGACCTATGACCCTGCCAGGCACCGATGACGTACGACCCTGCCAGGCGCTGATGACCTCTGACCCCTGACCTTGTCAGTTACCGGTGACCTATGACCCCTGACCCTGTCAGGCACTGGTGACCTCTGACCTAGGACCCCAGACCCTGCCGGCACCAGTGACCTCTGACCCTGCAGGCCCCTTGTTACCTCTGACCTCTGACCCTGCCAGGCAACCATGACCTGTGGCCCCTGATCAGGTCAGACATCGGTGACCCCTGACCCCAGACC